GCATAATCTTCTTTCATTGCCCCCAAATATAGTTTAAACTGTTGAGGAGTGGTGTTTTTTGTTTTCTTTCTCTTTGTTTCTTTAGCGTTACCACTAAACATTTTATATATTATGTTCTTTTAAATGTAAAATTATCTTACCTTATTGTATTCAATGACTAGTTTAAATTTTTTACTTTTTATATTATATTATATGCTCGTACACAAATGATAAACCGATAAACCTTTGAATATTTAAAGCGATAAACAAAATAAAACAAAACAAAATAAAAATATAGGTTTTGTTTGATGGTAAGTAAATAGTCGTGAAGTTGTAGCAGTTCATTTATATCACTTTAAATTAGACATTTACAGATAAGTTATCTGAGATAACATCCCCAAATTGCCACTTTTACGATTCTATATATATGCTTTAAGCATTATTGTTACAGATCATCGTAAGCTATACATTTACGAATTTACAGAAATTTTACGGGAGAACTCAGAATTGACCTTTTAGCTTTTTACAGTCGTGTCCGGCTTTTTGTTGTTTAACTAATGGTTATAACTGGTTCATTTTGTAACAAAACTGTGATTAATTTGTACTTAATAAATAGGTAATTAAAATATGTTACCAATTTTTTTTTATTAGAAAAGTTATGTCCATCTTTATAAACGTTTGTGCGGCTTTAAAAAGTTATGTTTCGCTATTAAAAAAGATGTCCCGCTTTAAGGGCAAAGCGCCGAGTCCGGCCTAGCAACCCCTCGACTCGGGGAACTACCAAATTGTATGATGTAGATATTGCACGATCGCAAAAATTTTGAGATTCACGAGTAATTGTTGATACCTAAATAAAATGCTGCAAAAATTAAATATATTTTGACCGGTCAATTGACCGGTCAAATAAGTAGCGGTCAATTGACCATCCCCAACTCTAGATTTAGATAATGATGTATCTATCCAACTTTTAGGATTGCGTTGATATCTATCACAACGATTTTTAATGATTATAAAACATATTTTTGGAAAAAAATGTCTTTAAAACCTACTAATTTAATATATATATATATATATTAAGTTAATATTTTTAAGCAAAACTTTTTTTAAACCATAAAACCGACTTGAATAAAAATGCCTTATTGTAAAACGAGTTTTATAATCCTTAAATCCTTTTTCTGCAAAATAATGGTTTTAAGGTAAGGTTTATTTGCAAAAATCGTTTTTGTGTAATACTAAAAATTACTTTAATTAAGGACCCTTTCAAAGAAAAAAATGTGATTGAAAATACCAACGCGCGAATTTTAAATTTAAAACATACTGTTTAAAACTTCTTACTAAAACATGCTGTTAATAGTTTTGTAACAAGTTAAATGGTTTGAGCTGCCAACGAAATTGTCTATGTTTTTTTAAGGAAAGGTAATTTAACACAATTTAAGATAAGGATATCATTATCAAAAAGGTAATAACGAAAAAATTAAAATATAATTATGTAAACGCGTTTTGTTACAGTTAAAGTAATTAAAAAACATAAATAAAGATTTTTTTTCCACTCCCACCTTTAAAACGCCCTTTATCGTACATGTTTCCATGACACTAAGTGACCTTTTAAATACACATTGACAAGTTGTGGCTTTACGGCGCTTTAGTCACGGGCTGAAGTTAGCAACAGGTTTTTAGTCACGGGCTGAAGTTAGTTTTAAGTTATTTGACAGTTGTCAAATGTCATACAATCGTTAAAATAAAGTGCTTTTCTTGTAAAATAATACTAAATGTGAAAATTATTTTATTATCTCAATACAAAAATACAAAAATTTTAAATAGTTTCTCAACGCCAATATTTGAAAAGTTTATATGAACATTTTACTTTTAATTTCGCCGGCAGTAAACTATAACTTAAATTCTGGCACGGACTCTACTCTGCATTTCCTTTATCTTCACTGTGAAAAACTGTCAATTTTCAAGATATATTTCGATTTATAACCTTTATAATTGTGTTTATAAAATATAAAAATGTGACATTTGACAGTTTCCCCTGCTGTTTCATAGATGGCGCTCTATACAAATTTTTGATTTAAATCATTTTAAGATAATAATAAGTATTTGTCGTAGAAAAAGTATAGTATGCACCTCGTTTATAAACTTTTCTATACACTCATAAGGTTAAGCACTCGCTCGCAAGCTCGCTCGTGCCTAATTTAAATTCGTGTATAAAATGGCGTTTATCAAACTTGATACATAATATACTATTTTCAACTCCCACCTTTAAAACGCCCTTTATCGTACATGTTTCCATGACACTAAGTGACCTTTTAAATACACATTGACAAGTTGTGGCTTTACGGCGCTTTAGTCACGGGCTGAAGTTAGCAACAGGTTTTTAGTCACGGGCTGAAGTTAGTTTTAAGTTAGTTGACAGTTGTCAAATGTCATACAATCGTTAAAATAAAGTGCCTTTCTTGTAAAATAATACTAAATGTGAAAATTATTTTATTATCTCAATACAAAAATATTAAATAGTTTCTTAACGCCAATATTTCAAAAGTTTATAGGAACATTGTACTGACCTTTTAATTTCGCCGGCAGTAAACTATAACTTAAATTCGGGCACGGACTCTACTGTAAAGTCCTCATAAAACATTTCCTTTACTTTCACTGTGAAAAACTGTCAATTTTCAATATACATTTCGATTTATAACCTTTATAATTGTGTTTATAAAATGTAAAAATGTGACATTTGACAGTTTCCCCTGTTGTTTCATAGATGGCGCTCTATACAAATTTTTGATTGAAATCATTTTAAGATAATAATAAGTATTTGTCGTAGAAAAAGTATAGTATGCACCTCGTTTATAAACTTTTCTATAAAATGGCGTTTATCAAACTTGATACATAATATACTATTATAAAACATTGCGAATAAATAATTTAAAACTATTAAAAAAATAGGGGTTGGGACATGGTTGGGAAATGATTTTTTGGCTATTCGCATGGCTGTTGTTTTTTATCTTCAATAAAAAAAGCTAATATATTATAGTATTATTTTTAATTATGTATAAAAATGATCTTGGACCAGGATTTTCGTAGGTTGTGGGAACTACCTACACAATTGACAACATTTTTAAAAAAAACAAAAAAAATTCGGGAGATTTACTGTTGATCAAATTATACTATTTAATTTTTAATATTTTATATAAGTGCACTACTACACAGCCTATAAAAATATTGGGCACTAATATAGTATACTAATAAAAAATGTTTTTATGTAGACACTGTAAACATACGTAAACGTAAACCAATTATCGCATTTTTACGTAGGGCCGATGTTGGACCGAAGTCGGCAAAACGATTTCCGACCTCGGTCCAACGTCGGCCAACGATAATTAATTTTCATCGTCAATCTAACGTAGGACCGATGAGCGGCAAACGATAATCAATTTCCGATGTGAATCCAACGTTGGACCGACACCGGAAAACGATAATCGATTTTCGACTTCGGTCCATCTTTGGCAAACGATTATCAATTTCCGGCGTCAATCCAACGTCGGACCGACGCACAGTGGGAGGAATTAAAAAAATCGCGGACAAAATTAGGGACACATTATTTTATACTATTTTAAGGTTTATGCGGTAGTAAATGTATGCTAAAATATTAATAATGATAAAATGTTTTAATTATGTACAAAATTTTTATACACAATTTGGAAAAGTTCGGTTTTGTCGATCTTCCATTCTTTAAAAATATAAATTAATAAACAAATAAATTACGCAATATTACCTAGGCTAAAAATAGAAAAGTAAACAAAAAAACAATAACAGGAACATTCGAGCAAAATCACTAATATCCATTTTTTTAGGGAAATCTTTTCTTTGTCAATTTCGCATCTTTAGCTTTATTTCTATCGACTACTAAAGTAACTTGGCCCAAAAATCCCTATATCGATGTTAAAATTACATTTAAAAGTTTTTTACCTAACCTAGTCGGAGGATTTACTGATAAATACGTTTTTACCTTGTAAAATAACTTCTGCTAATTAATGTAACTTTTTTGTTTCATTTTATTTTTGCACTAAGAATATGTGTACTTTAAGGTTTTATAAAGCGTTAATAATATACAAAAACACGATGCGATGTATGTTAAGACTGACGTTTTAGAACTAGCAAAAGGCAACTATGATAACTTATAAATAATCGACTAATATGATAAATCCATGGATATATTCCACATCCTCTTGACCAAACAGGCAAAAAGAGGCAGCTAAATTCTTTTCCCTTTTAAAAAAGAAAATTTGATAAACGTTCTGGTACCAAATACTTTGCCTCACACCAACACACACCTAAAGAAATATCTAAAAGATTTATCTTCGTTGAAAGGCAATGGTAAAAGGTTTAGAAAAACGTTATTTTTGGTAAAATTTGTAATTTTAGACTTTCATATAAAAGATCAAGGATAAGGAATGGGGTAAAATATACTATCAATTCCTTTCATTAATTACGCAAAACATAAATGGGCTTGAAAAACTTACATCCTATTTTCTCCAAAAAACGACACGAACAATGTTACTTTTTAAGCCAGTTTAAGCGGGCATTTTATCATAAAAAAAAAATATTTTTTTAAAATCATATCTCTGGGCTTTCTTTTTTTATAACTCGCAATTTAAAATTTGCTATGTTGATTTTCACAAAATAAGGTTTTGTCCGCGATTTTTGAAATTCCTCCAAGTGTGCGACCCGTCGCTACGTCGCCAACTGATAATCAATTGTCGACGCCGGCCCAAAACCCGCGGCATAAGCAATACAAATCACAGCTGTTTACACACGCTAGCTTACTATAAATAGCGATGGGTTGCAATACTTAGTGGGAGGTGTGCGTCTGTGATGGCACATCTGAGTAATGATGGTTCTATACGTTTAGAGAGTGTTAAAATATCGTTTCATTAAGAGGATATTCTCAGGACTTACAAGAAAAACCCGTGAGAAGTTTATAGGAAACCCTCTGTTGGGTTTTTTGGCCAGACAGCGGGCTATAGTCCGTTTGCTGTCTGACGGCCGCTGTTTCCTATTGAAGGCGGGCCGACGTCGTATGACACCGGCGGGCCGACGTCGTATGACACCGGCGGGCCGACGTCGTATGACACCGGCGGGCCGACGTCGTATGACACCGGCGGGCCGACGTCGTATGACACCGGCGGGCCGACGTCGTATGACACCGGCGGGCCGACGTCGTATGACACCGGCGGGCCGACGTCGTATGACACCGGCGGGCCGACGTCGTATGACACCGGCGGGCCGACGTCGTATGACACCGGCGGGCCGACGTCGTATGACACCGGCGCACAGTGGTCTGAGAGGTAAATTTACGCGGCAAAAATTATTCTTTAAATATTTTTACCAAGACGTTTGTTTTTTATGTTTTTAAGGGTGCTAAATTTACTTCTTATATAATTTTTTTTCAAAAATATTTGGTATTGAGGGAGCTAAATCTAGCCAAATGATATAAAATGAATTTTTTTAATATTTGTGTATTTTTTGTTTTTTTTATGTTTTATATTTAATAATTTATTTATTAAATAAATAAATGTTTATATTTAGTTCGTACCAGGGGGCGATCGCCAATGTTGGCGATTGCAACATGGCGCACGCACAATTTTTTATCATGAATAACCGAAAAACCATTACCTTCAAAGCATCAAAAATATTATTATATCAACATTTTACATTTCACCATATTTCTTTTTAACAACCCTTTAGCCAATATCGTGATGGTTGAATAGGAAAACTTATTATTTTTATTATGCGTTAAATACTCTTGCTTGATTTAAAAATAAAATTCCTTTAGAACAATAATTATTGTACTACCCGCTTAGAGCAATTTGCTGTTTTTTATTTTCTGAGCACCCTGGACATTTAATTAAAAATGTTTGTTAGGAATCTCATTTTTAAATACTAGCAGATGTTTTTATGAAGAATGATTTTTTGCGATTCCGTTACGAATATCTCATTTCACATTTCTCTCTTATTTTGACATATATTTTTTTTTTAATTACTGAGCACCCTGTATATATAATTTATCTTAATTTTTAACTATCAAATATTTTCAAAAAGAATTCATTTTTCCACAAAACGCAGTTTTTTTGTTTTTTTAGTTTCTGAGCACCCTGTACATTTAATTCAAAATGTTTGTGTAGGAATCTTATTTTTGAAACAAGCAAGAGTTTTTAAATATCATGTTTTTTTCGTATTATAATACTTAATAAAAAAGTTTTTTTCTATTGTCCTTACCATCCGTGGGCACACTGTATAATATACAAAGTATATTAAAAAAATAATATTATGTAATAGGAGTAAAGAAAATTGTATTACCATTCTTAAATGCAATAATTATTGTCAAATTAAGAAATGTATTACTTTTATGACCAGGTTAGCGGTAATTTGTCGACCATTTTTCATTTTTGCATAACTCTCTTATAGGCGCATAAAGGCAGATGAATTTTTATAAAGTCGGAGCTGGTCGATTGCACTATGTGGTTCTCCGCAAGTAATTATAAATTTTTACTTATATTCCATTTATTATTTGTAATAACAAAACTTAAGAATTTGAAGGTTAAAAAACGCTATATTTTTGGCAAAAAATCCAAAAAAGACATTTAAAAGTTGTATTCGTACTCAACTTTATCCCTACTATAAATTTTTGACACTAATTTTCACTACTATATTTACGCAACACCTTTTTTACACGAAAAAGACAAGACAAGAGTATTTTTGAAAATCTTTTCATGTATTTGTTATAACGCAACGCAAACGCAGTAAATTCTACTTCGCAGTTTAAAATCTTAGGTAATAATCTGTTACAAACAATAACGAGGCATCAAAATGCGTTAATAAAGTGTTTTAAAAATTGTATTTTTGCCGCGTAAATTTGCCTCTCAGACCACTGTGCGGCGGGCCGACGTCGTATGACACCGGCGGGCTGACGTCGGCACATAACGAAGAACGGCAGGCTATAATCCGCGGCGGGCCGACGTCTGCAAGATTGACCTTTGGCATGCGGCCGACAGATAATTGTTGGTAGGGTAATATATGTATTTAAAAACTTACCAGGATCTTTAATTAGTTGGACACCGATTATTAATCTCCTATATTCGCTTTTCGTTAAATTTTCAGAACACCTATTTGCTACTTGAGATAATGCTAGATCAGCCATTATCTGCTTAACTTTAGTCTTTTTTTGGTATCCTGTAAGCTAAATGATAAACAATTAAATAAATGTCTTTTAGTTGTAACATATTTAAATTGATAAAAGTTATAAAAATTATAAATTTAAATTATTATTCAATACTAATCATAAAATGTTTTGCTAAATAAAATAAAATAAAATATACCTTTGTTGGTGTGTAAAATAATGTTTGTTCGACTGTTAGTCCAGGTATTAAATCACATTTATGGGTGAAGTATCCACCATTTTGTTGAAAGAGAGACATAGTCATGGGTTGATTATTCAATAATATTTGTCCTCTTGTTGGTCCTTGAACTCTGCGGGATATAACATCAAGTAAAGCTTTTTTTCCACTTCCTAAAAAAATTAACTTAAATCAATGATAAATGTAATCCCAGAAACTCAAGCTAAGGCCAAATGATATTAAGTCGAAATTTTGAGGTGGTGTATAATATGCAAGGAATCATGCATATATATATATATATACAGGTTGATTCCTTGCATGATTCCTTGCATATTAATAGGTATTATATAAATGGAAGAAAAAAGCTCATATGAATCTTTTATGGACCATCTACTTCATTTTCACGTTGACTTAGACGGCATAAGCGAAATGAGTGAAATAACTTTACAACCCTGCTGGAAAAACCAGGAATTGGCGGATAAAAAACTAAGTTGCTTTTATGTCTGGTTATGGCTGCCTTTGCCTGTCATATCGGATTTAACCCCTCACGTCGGATTTTACGTGCAATACCGGGTGTAAATATAATCCGCAAAGGTCCGATATTGCCGTTATGATACTTTCATCTGATTTAATTGCCTGCATTTCGCAAATGTCTGATTTCGTCCGGTTTTATCCGCGATTGTTTGCATTTCGTTCTATGTCTGCATTCATCCGGTTTTATCTGCAAATACCTGTATTTGGTTTTATGTTTGATTTCTGTAATGTATTTAACTTTACTTTAATACTTTCATTTGGGTTCGATGAGTTAAATAAAACGCTAATAACTTAAGACTGTGTTTTAATTGACTTTAGGATATCAAGTGCTTGCACTCGTACCACGTTGCTACCTTGCCCCGGCACACAGTAGTGGGGGAGGTGCGCGGTGCACTTAAATACATAATTAATACATAATATCACAATTTCATCTGGTTTTATGTCAGGTTATGGCTGCCTTTGCCTGTCATCGGATTTAACCTGCAATACCGGGTGTAAATATAATCCGCAAACGTCCGGCATTGACTTTATGATACTTTTATCTGATTTTCCGCGATCGCCTGCATTTCGTTTTATGTCTGCATTTATCCAGTTGTATCCGCAAATGCCTGCATATGGTTTTATGTCTGGATTTATCTAGTTTCATCGGCAAATGTCTGATTTCGTCCGGTCTTATCCGCGTTTGCTTGCATTTTCTTCTTGCATTTATCCGGTTTTATCTGCAAATATCTGCATTTGGTTTTATGTCTGCATTCATCCGGTTTCATCCACGCCTGCATTTTGTTCTATGTCTTCATTTATACAGTTTTATTCGCAAATGCCTGCATTTGCTTTATGTCCGAATTCATCTGGTTTCATCCGCTTTTGGTTTTATGACTACATCCACCCGATTTTATCTCGAAATGTCTAATTTCGGCAGGTTTTATCCAATCAATCATCTTTTTTTTTTAATGTCTGTATTTGATTTTAGGTCTGAATTTATACGGTTTTACCCGCAAATACGTGATTTCATCCGGGTTTAACGACTTTTACCTGCCCAGTTTCGTTTTTACCTTCCAAACTTCTTTGGATTTTACCCGCGCTTGCTTATTTAGTTTTTCGTCTGATATTATTATTTATTTAATATTATAATGTTCTTCCAACAGGCACCAGACCCAATTACAGGAGTTCACACTGACACACACAAATAAACAGCCATACCCCTGGTGGGAATCGAACCCACAACCTCTCGGTTTGTAGTCCGCAGTGCTGACTACTACACAACCGAGGGCGGTGTCTCTGTATTGAGTTTAAGAGGGAAAACATTTTTGATGTCAAAAAAAAACTCATTCTTAATAAAAAGTTTTGATTGTCGAAAAAAAAACATTAATATACAAAAATTTGGGATTTTATTCACAGGGTGTTTAAATAAAGAAAACATTAAATCAATTCCAGAGAGAAGTAACTTTTTTAACCAAAAAAATGATAAGAAAAAGTAATTATAAAAATGTTTTTTTTCCAGGATCGAGCTTATGCAGAGAATATAAGAGGCATTTTTTGATCGAAACATTTTTATTAAGAATTACCTTTTTTAATAAATCAAAAATAAAAATGCGTCTTATCTTCTATGGAATAACTCGATCCTGAAAAATAATATAATAGATTTTGTTTTCGCAATTTTTGAACACCCTGTTGATAAAATCCCAATAAAACCAAATGCAGGCAAAATCAGACACGGAAAGCAACTTTAAATAAAAAGGTAAATTTCATGATTTTTTTTGTTTTTAAGTATTTATTGCAACAATAGAAGTAATTTTTCGAAAATATTGAATTTATAAAAATAAATCAGATTTTTTGAAAATATAAATTTATATCGTAAAAAAAGTGGTGAAAGCAATACAAAAGTGTGTCCTTTTTTTAACTACTAAAATATTAAAATACATTTTAAACATAAGTGAATATTTTTTACATAACATGTAAGTATTTTATATAATAATATAATTATTTGCCAAGACATAAAAAAAGTAAATTTAATTAACATATGTTATTGCATGAGTCCACTGTAATGGTTCAGTACTTTAATAAGTTTTACAAATTTATTTTGAGTATGAGTATGAGTATAAGAGACTTATAACCGGCCCCATTGCCTCATCACTCCTGGACCCCGCACAGGCCTCTGTTACCTTACGCTGATTTTCTTCCGCCTCCAGCACCGACTCGGCTTCATCCATGCTTGCTGGGTGCGAATGTCCATTGCGTCCCGTACCCGGGTTCGCCGGGCCTATGCTATACGCCCGGTGTTTAGGGGACAATTACGCAGGATCCCCTTAGACCGGGAAGTTAGTATTACTCCAAACATTTGGGATTACTGTTTGGAGTTGGGGAGTTGTTAGTTCGCTGCAGGGGCCTAGTTTACTGGTCGTGGTCAATGTCTTGACTGTTATTGTCTGTGTCCGTGTTCAAGTCTTGTCTCGCGTTGCAATCCTATCTCTTTATTGAACAGTTGTTGTGCAATTGATGCGGTTATGCAGTTACCGGTGGGAGGTATTTTTTGATTTCCACAGTATACTATTACCAATTCCATTAGAATTCGGTTTGTGTGTTTATATTCTGTGTTTATGTTTTCTTAATTAATGTTCGTTTAGAATTTCTAAGTGTCAAGTATTAATTTGGTATCGTTTCGTTTAACGTTTCGTTTAACGTTTTGTTTATTGGGGCCGTTTTCTTTAATTTATGGGTTTAGTCTTGGTCATTTCTTATTGATAGATTTATTGTCCTAGTCAGCTTTCCTGTTAATGACCGCGTTAAGAACTGGGGCGGTTTTGTTTTGTTTTTTTGTTGTTGTTTTGTTACTATTGTCTTAATGTTACTGGTGCACTTTGTTTATTTTTATTTTTTTGGTTAGATTCTCTCATGTTTAAGAGAAAAGTGCCTCAAGGTACCTGTCGTGGTGGCAAATAATGTATTAGGTCATGCAGATGTTTAAGGTTACTTATCGGGAATTGCAGATGGCCCTTTCCTCCCTTGGTTATCCTCTTTTGTTTGTCTCGTGAAGAGTATCCAAATGCGTGGTTAGACCGCCAGGAAGGTGGACGTAGGGTGGTCTTTACTCACTGTAGTTTTTACACTATAGATTATTTGCACTTTATGAGTAATTATTGTGAGTTTTGTTTGTAAGTTGTAAGACAACGATACGGTAAGATACGGTAATATGCGACTAACTTCGACGAGTCTCGAACGTACAAATTTATTTTAAAGTAAAATTTTTATTTTCTTAATTGTGGTGTTAAAGGCAAAAGGCTTAGGAAACCGAGGTAATAAGGGACACTTAGGTAACAAAAATACAGGTTTTTCGAACTTTGCCTAAAAATATGGTGTCCAGATGATGCAAGAAACGAGGGTCCAAGTTCACGAAGCGAGTAAAGGAAAGCAAAAAACCCATGCAGAAAGTTTTGCTAAAATTACATTTATTTTAAAGTTCTATTTAAATAATTGTTACAAGTGTTTGTGTATTCTCCAAGGATAGTTCTTAATTTTGGTAGCCCAAATTATTTAGGAAAGTCCACTAAACGTAGAACGATTCAGATTTAAGTTAATTGATTTTGCACTACTATAGTAGTATACGTATACGTTTAGCGATATTAACACCTTTTCATTTTGGTAACTTTTACAAAATGTTCTTGGCTTTTATGTTTTATGTAAAAATTTCGATTTCATTATTTTATTGTTCAAAATTTTATTTAGTTGTACACTGTCCCTGTAACTAAAATGTTTAGACCGTCCCTAACATGATTATGCATTTTTTGTGGTCATTTTAAAAGAAATATTGGTGTAATACGGGACGTTTCGTTGCTTAAAATGGAGTATTGACCGTTTATTTTAAACTTTGAATGCTCCTTTTTTTAGTAGATATTAAATTGCTTCACACCGTGAGGGATAAATGGTCACCACAAACTTTCATCTTTAGACGAGATGTCTCCAGTGTGGACCTCGTTTCCCACACGGCAGCGACATTAACGTTGACACACAAACTCTTAACTGGCCTGTTAACTAACAACTTTTTTCCTATTTTTTATCCTTTATTATTTATTTGGGGTTATATAAAGTAACGTGCCCCGCGTCATCACATTAATTTTCATAAACTTTTAAAAGAGACAATGCCTAATCGTGTAATACTTTGCTACTTCATTGCCGAACATGGTTTTTCTCAAGGTCTTTTTCCCGGGTCGTATCTCCCTAAGAGCCACCCTTTGCATGTTGTAAAACGTCTGTCAAAGTAAAATAAATTAAATTGGGGTAAACTAAACACTGTATTTTATTTTTTGTATACTTAATTCTCCGTAGGGGTAATTTATTAGCCACCAATGAGTGCTCCTTATATCCTCTAATTTTATTTCTTTTTTAACTGTAAATTGACAAGGACCCAAGAAGAAAAAAAAACTCACCTTTTTTTCTCCCCCCTTCACCTATTTATACAGAGCTATGCAAAAGTTACTGTGCAGACCTAACTTTAAAAAATTGTACTTCTTTTGCTAATAAAGCTATCGACATTAAACAAACTGTTAATTGTTAAGAAAATATTTCTCTTTTAAACCATATAGGAGACATTTAGTTATTGATGCCCTAAATGGTCTTTGGGAATTTTTTAAAAAATGCATTTTTTTGTCAAAATTGTCTAATTTTATAAATTCATATATTCTTAGAACAACTTGCCAGCAATTTTTTTTTAATGGAGTTTGTTACCAAAGACCTTACTCTATATAAAAGAAATGAAAACATTTTTAAATAATATTGGCTAAGAGTTCAAAAAAATATAATAAAAATTCATGTTTTCGAAAAATCACTATTTTCAGCCATTTCATCGTTTAAAAAGGCTATGATTGAGTTAGTCGATTTAAACTAATTTATGCTTATCATCACATGCACTTATTAGCCTTCATTAACCATGAATAAAATTATTGTGTACTTTGCTTTTAACTGGGCTGTGGCTGTATTATCAACAGCCCAGCTATAAGCAAAATACACAATATGCCTACCTGACTAAATCCATAATATGGATTATAATACAGACTGTATAGAATCAAGTAAGTAAGGCTGGAGACAAGGATGACAAATTATATTCTGATCAGAGAAAAAGAAACAAACTTTAATTGGGCGTGGTTTAAACCAAGCCATTCGTAATTACGAACCATAGTGGCCAGGTTGTTTAGGAAACAATAATAGCATATAGCAACAGCGCGGCATGCAGCCAGATACAAGGGCATGCAGTTTGATCTACTGTGTTCAGTAGCTCCGACGCTGTGTGTAGTTTTTAAGAAATACATTTTCGCCATTAACTGGAATTTAATGGATTTTAAACTACTTAGTTTTTATTTGCAGAAATGCATTAAAACAAAACAAACGAATTTACAGGTGGACATAAACATCCACAGCCCAGCTAAAAGAAAAATACACAATAATTTTATATATGATTATTGGAAACTAATAAGTGCCTGTGATGATAATCATAAATTAGTTTAAATCGACTCACACAACAAAGCCTTTTTACACCATGAAATGGCTGAAAGTCAGGTGGGCATATTGTGTATTTTGCTTATAGCTGGGCAGTACATACAGCCACAGCCCAGTTAAAAGCAAAATACACAATAATTTTATTAATGGTTATTTGAGGCTAATAAGTGCATGTGATGATAAGCATAAATTGGTTTAAATTGACTCACTCAAACATAGCCTTTTTAAACCATGAAATGGCTGAAAATAGTGATTTTTCGAAAACATGAATTTTTATTATATTTTTTTGAACTCTTAGCCAATATTATTTGAAAATGTTTTCAATGCTTTTATATAGATTAACTACATTAAAAAAATTTTGCTGGCAAGTTGTTCTAAGAATATTTGAATTTATAAAATTAGACAATTTTGCCAAAAAATTCTTTTATTAAAAAAATTCCCAAAGACTGTGAAAGAATGTGTTCTATATGGTCTAAAAGAGAAATATTTTCTTAACAATTAACAGTTTGTTTAATGTCAATAGCTTTATTAGCAAAAAAGTACAATTTTTTAAAGTTAGGGTCGCATAGTAACTTTTGTGTAGCCCTGTATAAATAGGTGATAGGGGGAGAAAAAAAAAGGGGAGTTTTTTTTACTTCTTGCGTCCATGTCTATTTAGAGTTAAAAAAGAAATAAAATTAGATTATATGAGGTGCACTCATTGGTGACTAATACATGGAATTACCCATAGTATGATTCGTAAAGCAATGTATTTAACACAACGTAGATGTCCAAACTTGGGTAAGACGATCACAATCCAGTCATAAAATAGTTCATTTATTAATTTTTCATAAAACTTGTTTTAAGTAGAAATTTTCACATTACATATACTTAAATTATTATTAAACATTGTACACAAAACATTTTTTTACGTAAGGGTGTTGCAGAACTGTGCTGCCTACACGTCATAGCGGGCCATAGTGGACCCCGTCCGATTAGACCGTAGCCGGTGGCTGATTATCTTTCACCGCTGTCGCTTAGACTGGTTGGTAATTCAATTTTTTTTTCTGATTTTAAACCGCCGGGCAAAAAAAGTTTTTTTGTAACCTAAAACATTTCTATTTAAATTTTGGTGTCGATCGGATAATATTTACTAGTCGCGCCTAGGTGAGGAAATTTAAATATACAAAATATTCAGAAATTTTTTTTTATTTGGATTGTTTATGAGTGAATGCATGCACAAAACTTAAATTAATCAAAGAAATAAATATTCCGTTAAATGGTTAATAGAACAACATTCACAAAAAGCTATTAATGTCCAAATTCGGTTAGAATTTAAAAAAAGGTTCGTGAATATTTTACATTAAATTACTTAAGTGCGGTTTTGTTACAGGAAGGAAACTTCTTGCGATATGCTTCAACAAACTGAAAGACAAATTGCTTTTGTTCTTCATTTTGAGTCAAAATTCTATTGTAGTCTTTCATGAATTTAACACCGCGTTCAGCAACATCATTGACTACAAACAAACCACGACAAAAATCGAAAGCTTCTTGATAGTCGTCATTGTCTTCCCATGTTGATGGATCAAATTTCAAAAAAGCAGCAGGCAAGCCAAACGCATTGAAAAAATTGTAGGTCTTATACGATATGAAATCGCTTAAAGAGCTTGGGAATAAGACTTCCGGGTTTGAGATTCGTCGTCCTTCTAATAATTTTACGTTTGGTTCTCTTGATTGAAGA